CCCAAGACAATAAGTCGAGGGTGATCCAACGCCCAGCCTGATACGGCCTCCAGCAGGGACGGCAGACTATTGGCCGGTGCATTAGGCGGTCGGTACACCAGCCAAATCGCCAGACTCTCCTCAGCCCCCAGCAGCAAGCCAACACACTCTAAGCCCGCGATCTCTACAGACGGGAGTGTCCTGAAGGAGTAAACCTCCTGAATGAGAATAGCAACTCCTCCCCCCCGTCCCCTCTTCCGCGATTGGTGAAGGACCGAGTAGCCTGGATGGGCTAACTGGGTGAGATTCAGGGTCTCCCCTTCTCTCACCCAGGTCTCGGTCACGGTATGAGCTTTCGTGAGTCACTACTCACTTCTTCAGATATCTGAGGTGAGCAGTGACTCACAAAAGCTCATACCGTACCACAAATATTGTTAGTCTTTAAGGTGCTCCTGGACTCTTACTTTTTTCTACTGCCACAGACAGAGTAACATGGCTACCCATCTTGATCTATTTTTAAACATATTCTTCAGTGGTTGCAGATTACGTAGCTGAAATAAGATTTTAAAAATCCACTTATGCTGAAAAGTATAAAACAGTATTAGGTTTAACAGATCATAAATTGCTTTTTGTACACTTGACTCAGACGATACTGTAGAACATAATACAGCAATGGACAGTCGTCTTAGTTATACAGAGATATCAGCCTGATGTTGATCGATGGGAGAAAGGATCAATTTTCTATGGACCAATGAAAATCAAATGTGATGCAACAATACATTGTTGCCAGAGGAATGCATTACCTTTGCTGCCTTCGGAGGCAGGTATTCACCAATAATGTGGCTGATAGCTCTGGGAGGTGACAGAAATTATTCTGCTTAACTATAGATAGTAGTGCTAGGGTACAACCCAGAAACAATTTACACTTGTCATGATCTCAGGCAGTGTTTCATTTAGAGACTAGAGGAGGTACTGTACCTATAATGAAATCTACCTTATGTTGTAGGAAAAGGAGTCTGTTAGGTACAAGAGATGTCATTGTATTGTAGGTCATCTCTAATGTCACAGTGAAGCTACTTTCTCATGGTTATGAATGACTAGGTAACACCCAACCTTCTATAAATGGAAGAGTGTAATAAAGCAGCTGCCTTACCACATTTTTTTTCTTTGCTACTCCCATAAGACCAAGATCCTAAATTTATCTTTCATGCTATAAGTGTTACAAAGGGAGGCACTATTAAACTCCAGGGCTTTTTTCCCCCCACCAGCATTCTCTTTGAGGAATCAACTCAACTGCAGGATTGGTTTGGGTTGCTTTCTGCTAAAGTACCCACTTTCATACTGTTTCAGATTATATAACTGTAAAGTTGACTGGGAAGAGTTCTCTTACTGAAAAAGAATTTTATTCTGCTTTTGAAGATACTAAACCCAATGGCACACATGGGTGGCCCTAGAAAACAGCTCCATTATGTTATTCTCTTCTTTAGTCCTATAACTTTCATTTGTCATCACCCATGGCTAGAAACAAACTGAACTGAACCAACAATACTGTCGTTCCTCATCTCTGTTCCATCTATTTAGCTGCCATCACAGGTAAGTGAAACAACCTATTATGGGAAATAATGCAATACAGTGAATACCCATAGTCCCCCATAACATGAAGTCTGGGGTTCTCTGAAGTGAAAGAGCCACAAATGGAGAAAAGACAGCAAAGGGATCAATTTATTCTTGTAATCAGTTTTGCAAATTATAAAACAATGGAATGGTTCTAACTTCAACAAGCTCAACACAGTTCTTCCCCCACTAATCAGGGATGATTTTGGAGAACAGTAAAGTTTGATTAGATGAAGCATACCACTGCTCCCCAGTCAGCACTACAGCAAATTCTTATTTTTGGGAAATACCAGATACATTGTGTCCAACAATTTTCCTTGGACAGAGATGTGCACGTGCAGAAAAAAAATCACAAACATGTATAAGGTTTGCTCAGAGAGGGCCTTCAAATTATTCCTATGCTGACTCAGTTCTGATAATGGAAATAAGAATGGGAATCCATCCATCTATACTACAGACAACACCCTTATTGTGTACTTTTCTAGATCGGATGACACCTTTCTTGGCTTTCTATCAATACTTCAACGATGTAGCAGAGAAGCATGGATGGAAAAGGTAGAGACACTGTAATACTTGTAAGTGCCATTTCATTTTGAGTGAGACATGAAAAGTATTTCTCAGAAGATTTGTAGCCCTCATTTGATGGCCAATGCCCTCAATGCATTATAAGACCAAAGGATGCAAAGCCTTAGGCGGAAATACACTACAAACAGTTTTCTTGAAGTACAGGCTTCAGTAGGAAAGCTTTCTTGTTTAATGCAGCCTTTCCACCATCCAGAAAAGGGGTTCCCAACTTTGCTGAGTTTGTAGGTGCTTCTGGAATTTTGAGAACACTGAGTGGTATTGAAGTGGTTACCATCTGGGCCAGGGTTCATAACAAAAGTATTGGAAAGTTCCAAGCCCGAGCATCTTTCTACAATAAAGGTAATGCTTCCGAACAGGCAGCTCCCTGTTGACACGAAGGTGATGCCTCTTCAGATCTTCTGAAACACCTCCTGTACCAATGAGGTAGAAGAAAGCAATAATGTTTGTTTTAGGGGAGAAGATAGTGGGATACTAGAAAACACATGGAATGGCAGTACTTTGGGGATCACTACTTCAAACCAGCCCATTTTAATATTACTGATTCTCTGCACTCATGCAAGACAAGCAATTGGAGCATCCAAAGGCTTCTGTTGTCCTGAACCAGGTCTTGAAAACATCTTAATAAGACTCAAGTAAATAATATCGAAATAGGATTCATGTCATTTGCACCAAGGCAAAAGAGGTGCTGTTGGAAAGGAATACTTTATTGAGAAATATGAATACCTCACCAGAAGAGACATACATAACAATGTCAAGTTCATCTTGGTAAACTAGTTCCAAACTTTTTTGCTTGCAGGAAGTATAACTTTTATCTTTCTAAGAAAGAAGAGACCTACAGTGAAATTTAATGACGGAATTAAGTATCACAGACAGCCAAATGGATTCTTATTTCTTCCGTATTTATAGAGTTTTTAAAAAAATTCCAGCAAAATATTTTATAGTAAATTTCCAAATTAACAGAAATAAAAGGTTTTAGAACAAACGTCTGTCTTCATAAGAGTTTCCCTGCTGACTACTGCTTACAATAAGTAACCCCCATACAGCATACTGCATAATAACAAGCCAGTACAAGATCAATTAAATTGGATTCATATATTTTCTGTTTTCAGCAGCAGTTTGCTTATGAACTTACCTCACACAGCTATTGTGGTAACACACACATATTCCAAGTATGTGGCTAATGACGTATCATTACGTGTGTCCGTAGCCTACTGAGACCTCACATGCAATTCTATTAAAGACATTTGAATGTATATTCTTAAAAATATATATATTTTCAAGAAGACGCATCTACCAAGGAGCAAGAACTACACAGTTAATATGCAGTGTGAACACCAGGATATTCTGTTTAAGGTTCATTCTAGCCTATACTCCTGCTTCAGTGCAAAAGATGCAGTATTTTTAGATAACAGCATTTAACACATTTCAAAACAAAACAGTAGTAGCAAAAAGAAACCCAGATACTTCAATGCTTGCTTAGTAATTTCTATTTAATCCATACTGTGGTTTTGATATAAGTGAATCAAAATAGGTGCAACAATAACACATGGATTTTGAGAATGTACACAAAGAATCTTTAAAAAACATTATAATCCACAGTATGGAATAATTACATTAATCTTTTAAATGCACAGTGAATCCATTCTTTCAGGTGCATTAAAGTCTTCCAACACTGTGGACAGGAGAACAAGTTGACATGATTATGCAATTCTGCAGTATGAACAATATACATAGCTTTCCAACAAATACATCAAGTGAAAACTTTTGCAGATATGAAGATATTGATGAAATATTCAGTAGTTACTGCTCATGCATACTATTAATTTGTGAATATCTTTTAGTCAATTGCTATAGTTTAATTTACAAATGAAAATATTATAGAAGAAACTATAATACCGAATACATATCCTAATTCCTGAATAATATTTTTGGCTTAACAGAAATCCAAAGGTGATATTTTTCATTTTGTAAAGGAAGATTGCAAACATCTGTACACAAGTTTATTTCCACAGCTTCTGTCAAACTTTTAAGAGGCCAATAAAGATTTCCTCAAAATAGAAAAAGTAACAGTTTCTTGTTTAAAACACCACCCACCACATTGATAGCTTGTAATTCAGTGCCACCAATGAACACCATTATAACCCCATTTGATTTCTACCCACCCCTGAGCTTATTTTGTATGTTTTAGATATTTGCAAAGTATAGTAGTATGTACATATCTATAAAATTTGCAACTTATATACAGCAGTTTAAAAAACCACTAGAATTATCTTCAGCCAACTCTGGTAGGCTTTTTTAAACTTTGCTGATCTGGTTCTTACTTTAAAAATCAAGTAAGTTATATTCAGTTCAGACATTCATTTATTAACTACTAGGTTTGATTTTTTTTTGTTTAGTGCAACAGTAAGGCAACATTAAAAAGAGCACTGAAATAGAAAGTTTGCATATGTGTAAAGGTAGTAAGTTTATAAAAGACATCAGTGCTTCCTAAAAAGACAGCCTAGATGTAGTATCATAAAATTACAGAAGTGAAGAACAATTCACTATTATTTAACAACTGTTTTTCTATATAAAAAAGGTAAATCTAGTTGTGGTCAGATCTTTGAAGAAAAAACCTGGAAAATTGCTATGGCTGTATGGGACAAGCAAGGTAAGAAAAATATATTTTTGTCTAAACTTAAAATAAAAAGATCCACACCTTTTTGTCAAAACAGTTCATCTCTGTCCAAAATGTATTTTTTTCCTTTATAATACAGGATTAAAAGACAAGATAACGTTTACAAGATAAAGAAATAGTTTACAAGAAAATATCTTCTGACAGCTTTTCAGTGAAAATATTGTTTTGTAACATTCAAACATGACATACAACAGAAAAGTAATCATGAACTCAAAACAAAAAAAATCCAAACATATAAATAAATGAAATATTGTGTAGGCAACAGGGCTCATGCTGAAGGCTACTGGGAAGTAACAGTGTGCAATCTACTTGGAAAACAGCTCTAGTGTACATATTAACAAGCCCATTCAAGGACTGCAGCAAATTCAGTTCTATCACTGCCATTTGTTCCCGTTTCCAGAACAAAGTTTGCCTTGATTAAATCATTCCTACCTTATTGTACTCATACCTTTGCTTCAGAAATATAGTATACAAACAAAAGGTTTCTACTTCAACCACAGGTATATCATAGTACGTACCTCTCTGCTGATATAACTTGAAAGTTTTCCATGTCAAAATATTGACAGTTCAATAAATATGCAATGATCTTATTAGTCTTCAGCTAAGCATGTTTTAATTCACGCTGCTAGTCTTATGATCACAGTGCATAGAATCCAAATCTAAACAATTAGGTGGCTTTCAAAATGATAGGTTACTTATAATCCCAATATACTTAAATCTTTTCATAGGCCCTATCATGCATCTACCTTTTCTTGTGGCAGGGGTATAAGTTTCCTGATACAATCTTTTGCCGGCAATGGATATACCAACACCGTCAAGAATCATATTATTGCACAATACATGAAGACCTAAAATTCTTCCCAAAGTTTATTTTAAAAAATGGAATTCTGATATTTCCCAACACCTGCATTTATACTGTACGACTAAGAAAAGCATGTCAGTAGCATGGATTGAACCAGCGATCAACATGCGCCCAGAATGCACACTAGTAAAAATGCAGTCAGAGGAAGTAGTCTTCATTGCCTATTGTCACTTCCAGTCAGAGGTTAAAGTTCAAAGACTGAATGATCAAAGTGCTCATTTTCTCAGTAGGACTATCTTCTGTGAGGCGATTCTCAAAATGGTGGCATCAACAAGTGTCATCTTTAAAAGAACATAAAATAAGGTAGTATATATGAATATACATCCAACAGCCACATCTTTTAATAAAGACATACATTGTAACAACACGTGATAAGAAATACATTGGACTTATTTCTTCAATAAACATTCAGGAAAAAAAGGAAATTCTAATGAAGACTAATCTTGAGCCACTGTCCTGTTTTGTTCAAAGAAACTGAAATCAAGAAGCTCTAATCAAGTAAACTGCAGCTCTAAAATTATATTCACAGGTAGGTTAAGACTCAAGCCCTTCAACCCAAAGACCTATGAATCTCAGGAAAACTGAGACTTGTTTTTCCTCAAATAGCAGCATTCCCACCATGCCATGTGGCATGGGTGACAACTGCTTAAAGAAAACAAACATTCCATTTTGCTGGAATGAAAGCCAGAACAAATCACAGGACAGATTCATGGAGAATAAGTCTTTCAGTGGCTATTTTGGAGTTTTAGAAATCTACCACTTTCCACATTTGCACCTATTCAAACATATGCTATACATTTTTATATTCATTTATATGTTAAACATTTACATCTAGACATTGTTCTCTTATGATGGTATGAATTTATATGTATCCAGTTAATATGAAGGTAGTTACCTATCACAGCAATTTTAATTAACTGCCTTCCTGATTTCTCTCTGTATCCAGGAGCAGTCTTAACCATGGAGCAGGTGCCCCAGGTTTCCAGTTTGAGGGAGGTGACCCTGTTGCCAGCTGAGTCATACCTGCCTGCCACAGCAATGCTGTTCCAACTGCTCTGTTAGCCACTAGGGTACCTACGCAGCCAGGCATCTGGGCCAAAGTACAGGCGGCAGCTGCATGGTACCATTGTGCAAACGATGATCTGGTCAGATGAACCCAGACCAAGCTTTTGCCTGACTTGGGTGCTGCTGGCTGCAGACTTGCAGCACTTCCTATCCTGCTAGCTCAGCCCAACCAGCTGAAGAGACATGGGCTGCAGCAGCCAGGGAACGGAGATGGTGTGTGCATGGCTGGTGTGCTGCACAACTGAGGAATGGAAGCTGTGGTGCCTGTGCTGCCAACTACCTTTTGTGGGCTAGGCTGAAGCAGTGTGGCTGTGTATATCTTCCTCCATGGCAGCACATGTGGTATGTGCTTGGACTTGGTACTGCACCTTCTCACTCCTTCCAGCAGCAGATGAAGTCATTGTTGTGATCCTTGTTCTCTTTCTCTTGCACACAGCTTAAGTCTCCAGGTAGTATCCCTGGCATTTGCCTCAAGTTTCTCTCTCCTCCCTCTCCACCAGCCGCACCACTTGCGGCAGCCCAACAGCAGTATTTTTAAATTGTAATTCATGCTCACAGAGCCTTGTAAGTAAGTTGGTGGGGGGATGTCCAACTCTTACCCTGCTTAAGGCTCCACTATCCATAGCCATTCATCTTCCCATACCATCTGCACATTCACAGGAGGCAAGGTGAGAAGAGCACTGTTTCTCCACTGAGCAGTGCTACAGGAGTCTCCTTTTTTGCCTGCCCTGTAGGAAAGAAAGCTGTGCTGCCTCCAGAATCATGTAAAGAACTCGTCTCTCTTTAAGAGTAGAAGGAAGACAAGTGTCTGCTAAAGATGGCAAGCTCTGCAGATAAACTGAGTATGTTCACAGAAATGCTTGTCTTCTTCCTAAAACCCTTAATATATTAAATGAGTGTAAAAACAGAATAGATGGTGGAAATGAGTGTAAAAACAGAATACATGTGTGGGTGAGACGATGATGTAGGGGGGAAGGGTTCAAGTTTTGTTAGGCACTGGGATGCTTTTTGGAACAAGAGGGAGCTGTACAAAAGAGACAGTCTCCACTTGTCCCGAGAAGGAACCAGGCTGCTGGCACTTAAAATCAAAAAGGTGACAGAGCAGTTTTTAAACTGAATATTGGGGGAAAGCCGACAGGAGATGAAAAGTCTCTGGTTCGGGATGGCTCATCTCAAAGAGATGAAGGGGTAGCTGTTACTTTTCTACAAGGAAATGGATTAGAATTGTCCACTGAGACTATGGCTAATGATATGGACTGCCTGGCAAGGTCACGAGACAGCAAGAGGAAAGTTGTGGGCTTAACATGCATGGGAAACTATAGGTGTTTATACACAAATGCTAGAAGTGTCCAAGGTAAAATCGGGGAATTGGAATGCTTGGTGTTGAGGGGGGAAATAGACATTGTGGGTGTGATGACCCCTTTACTAGGGAAGTCTGGTTTTACTTTAAAGTGTCCCTTTTAGTTTATTTTTCTTTGGGTATCCAGTTGCCACCAGGAATTTTAAGGCTTTCCAACCTCTTACTATAATATATATTTCTATCACTGGGTAGGTGTACCATGGGTCTAGGCATTCGTGAAGGTCTATGTGGTCTGAGGAAGGATTATTTGCTGTGCTGGTATACTTGAAGGAAATAGGATTTATTTAAAAAAAGCATCAACAAGGTGGATTATAATTGTCCACTGAGACCATGGCTAGTGACATGGACTGCCTGACAAGGTCTGGAGATAGCAAGAAGAAGGTTAACTTGTATGGGAAATTACAGCTGTTTCTGTACAAATGCTAGAAGTGTCCGAGGTAAAATCGGGGAGTTGAAGTGCTTGGTGTTGGGGGGAAAAATAGACATTGTGGGTATTTCAGAAACTTGGTGGGATGAGGAAAATCAGTGGGATACGGTGATTCCTGGTTATAAATTATATCAGAAGGATAGGAGGTGGGGTGGCTCTGTATGTCAGAGAGGGTATACAGTCCAGTAAGATTGAGAGGGTAAGAGAACTGGATTCGCTTCTGGAAATGCTATGGGTTGAAATAGTGGGCCCAAAAGAAAGCTTAACACTGAAAGTTTGTTATCGCCCACCAGATCAAAAGATAGAGGAGGTTTATAAAATGATGAATGAATTAAAGATAGCGGCTAGACGAAATAACTGTGTCATAATAGGTGATTTTAACTATCCACACATTGATTGGGTCAATATGTGTTCAAGCAACAAGTGGGTGGCAGCCCTGGATTGTCCCAGACACATGGAACGAAGAAGAGCAGGTTTGGCAGCCATAACCTGCACCAGCTGTGAACACTCCTAACTAAGAGAGTTATTTTGAGCCTCATCCATAACATCCGATGAAGACATGCACCGTAAGTACCTGTAATAGCACATTGAAGAATCTGATGATTTCTCCGAATAAGCCTCTTTAAATCTTCAAAATGATACAGAAAGGAGAGGTGGAATTCCCACCCCCCCTTTTTGAGTGAAGCGGCTGAGACGAGATAAGAGTCACGAAAAGAATCTTGAGATAAACATTTTCTGTGGCAAAGAGGGACTTTTGTTTGTGCTTCTACAAGAGAACTATAAAAAATTTATTTAAAAAGAAAGATATAGAGAGTGAAATTCACCATCTTGCAACAATTCTTTGCAACGTCATGCTTTACTGCTGAGAACAGAATAGAAGCGCACTCTGTTTAGTCTTTACCATAAAGCTGCGAAACATTCAGCTTGTGTGTGAAACTGTTGACTGCTGAGGGGAGTACTGTCTGGCAGAGGCAGGTAGCTTGAAAGAGACAGCTGAGAAGCAACTTGTAGAGATGCTGGACTTTGCTAGACCTTAACTGAGACTTGTTATTGTACTGAAATGAGCGATCAGCACCCTCAGGAGAGCTCAGTAGAATCTGAGAAGCTTCAAATATCTTGGGAGGAGATCCAGGCCATGATGACTGAATCAGTGACCCAGGCAATTAACAAGGCTTTTGAACTGTTATTAGACCAAATACTTTCCGCTTTAAACCAAATCACTGGCAAGGAACCTCAGTGCCAAACGGAGCAAAAAGCTGAAATACTTTGCAACCAAGCTGACTTAAATTACAGTGAAAAGGAATTACAGCATCCAACTGTGCAATTTTCTTTTAATAATTTAATAAATGTTTATACATTTTTACAAGGTCTGATTTTCTTCTGTGCATCCAACCTCAAAGACCCACAGGTCTGGGAAGTTGTTCAGGGGTTCTAAGCAGGGGAACCAGGAACACAACCCAGGGGGACCCAGCCGGGATCTCTGATAGATCCAGCTTTTACTATTTTCTGCAGGTATGGACTACCAGCACTGCAGTGTGATAAGTGAATCACTGAATAATTAACTGCTAAAATGAGAGGCATCTGCCTTGCAGTCATACAGTTTGTCTTGGAAAATCTCATTTGTAGCCTGAGATTATGGTGTCTGGTTTTCAGTTACTCAGGATGAAAAGGCACTTCACAATGCACATCTTCAATGCTACTCTTTATTATGAAGTTTCCTTATACTGAATCAGACCATACATCTCACAAAGGCCAGTACCCCCTATATGTACTATCTTACCATCCCGTTATTGCAGTTTTTTTGTTGTTGTTGTTGCAAGGCTGAACAGTATATCTACAATGGTTTTGCAAGGGAGATTTTTGAATAGGCCCCACACTGACAGAATTTGCCCTTGTGGCCTTAACAGGATTGATACATCCTTTCACACCCTGCTGGAATCCTGATTTTTTTGAGATTATGAGGGATTACTATATTTAGATATGTAGAGGAGAGACTCTCTACAATGGGAATATCCCCGGATTATTTAGCCCCCTTTTCAGATAAACAAGCCTATTCTATTATTAAACAAAGATTTCTTGACATTGAAAGGCAAGAATTTAGGGAACGCGCAGCCAGCAGATGCTCCCCAAGCAGGTTGGGGACTTTTGACATGGGCTCTACTGCGAAGTATCTGTCAAGTTTAACAGTCTCACATCATCGCAGAGCATACATGCTTGCACACTTTAATGTTCTACCATCAGAGGTGCTTTTAGGGAGGTACCGCCAGATACCATATGTAGACAGACTTTGTCCTTGCTCTCTAAAATATATAGAATCCATTACACACGCCATACTTCATTGCCCCCTCTACAGGAATATCCGATCTCGTTTTATTACTCCATTTCTAGAGGGTAAGAGCTGGCACTCTGATGACTCAATTGTTCACTTTCTTCTGTTTAATTCTAATTGTGAAATAATGGAGGCTGTTGCAAAATTTTTATATTATGCAATCAGAAGATGAGGCTTTAATAGCCCAGTGTGAATGCTGCATCTTAGTATTTTCCCATATTTCCATTATGTTTTGTGCTTTTATGCCAATAAAGGTTTTTTGTGTGTGTGATTACTATATTAAGCCTTTATTCAACCAACCATGCCCCTATACTCCAGAAACTCTGGCTCTTTTGCTCAGTGATAGGGATCCCAAGATCACTTTAGCAGTTGCAAAGTTAGTCTCAGTCCTTTTAGGCCTTGCATCTAAAAAATAAGAAGTAGGTGAATCAATGAGTTTCTAGGCATACAAAAGCAAAGAAAAGGCCAGTCCTGCAATTAGCAGTTTTTACCCCAGTCCTGCTACCTGAGGTTCATTTGAGATGCCATGGTTTTATTTACTTACTTCATTTATACCCCATCTTGCTTCCCAACGGGGACTCAAAGCAATTCCTATTGTTCTCTTCTCTTCTGTTTTAACCTTGAGGGGCTCAGGCAGCTGGCTTCCAGCAGCAGCTCACACCCACATTGCAAAGGGCAAGTGCTGCCCCTTTGCTTGTGCCCAGGCCCAGTGAAGGAGTGGCTGTGATTTAGGGACTTTTACCCAAGGTCCCAGGATCACTAAGACTAGCCCATCTGTATCTCTGTATCACCAAAGGGTGGAAAAAGAAAAGAAACAGTGGCTCAGTTCAGACATCATGTTGAGCCATGGTTAAGGAAGCTTAGGCATAGCTTTGCGGACTATCTGAATTGATTATCCAGAATTACAGCCATCACTCCAGATTCAAATACTTCTACATCAGAGAAACAGAAATGAATCTATGAACCTGAAAATTGAGAAGATGGAAACAGAAAGCAGATGAGCAGTTCTGAAATACGTTTGTATATTTGGAAATGAACCACTCTGAGTTCTAAACCACCACTGTTTTTATTTAAGCTCCAGCAGCTTAGTTCCAGTGCTGCTGCTTAGGTTTCTCTTGAGCTCAATATTTTTCTGCTCCTAAGAAGATCTTGACTGGGCATTGCAAGCTGTGGCTGGTTGGCTTAGGCTGAGTCAGCTGAAATTGAATCCGATGAAGATGGAGGTCCTGTGCCTGAACCGGGGCGGTCCGGGGGTAGGGATCCCACTCCCGGCCTTCGATGGGGTGCCACTGGTGCCAGTCCCAGAGGTTAGGAGTTTGAAAGTGCTCCTAGATGTCTCCGTAACAATGGAGGCCCAGGTAGCAGCCACTGCCAAGTCGGCCTTTTACCATCTCAGGCTGATTAGGCAGCTGGTTCCCTTCCTCAAACGCAACGACTTGGCAACAGTGATCCACACGATGGTCACCTCAGGATTGGATTACTGTAATGCCCTCTACATGGGGCTGCCCTTGTCCCAGATTCAGAAGCTGCAGCTAGTGCAGAATGTGGCTGCGAGGCTGTTGTTGTGTCGTCTGGTGCGGGAACACATCCAGCCTGCCCTAAAAGAACTGCACTGGCTGCCTATAGCATACCGGATTCAGTTCAAGGTGTTGGTTATTACCTTTAAAGCCCTTTATGGCCAGGGACCTGCATACTTGAGGGACTGCCTTTCCCCGTATGTTCCCCAGAGAGCGCTGCGATCGGGGACCCAGAATCGGCTGGTCCTCCTGAACATCAAGAAGGCCAGGCTAGTGACAACAAGGGCGAGGTCTTTTTCGGTGGCTGCTCCATTCTGGTGGAATGAGCTCCTGGAGGAGATCAGGGCCCTATGAGACCTGTTACAGTTCCGCAGGGCCTGTAAAATGGAGCTCTTCCGCTAGGCTTTTGGAGCCGCCACCACCACTGCCACCACTAATATCTGACAGTTTACGGAGAGGGACCCCAGCCCCCTGGGTCCCCCCCAAGTATAGCCTGACTCAAGTGTCTGGGACATCTGAAGGAGATTAAGAAGGTGACTGTACTCTGAGGAATCAAATGCTAGCACTTTAATAAGCTGTATAGTTATGGTTTTAAACTTGTGTTTGATTGGATTTTATATGGTATATTATATTATTATATTGTACTGTTTTATATCGCTATGTAAGCCACCCTAAGCTGGCCTTGCTGGGAGGGTGGGGTAAAAATCTAATAAAATAAAATAAATATATATATACTCTTTTTGATGCTATTAATTTATCCATACATGGAGACTTCAAAGTTCTGCTTTTCAAGCCAGTTCTTTGCACAAAACAATTGCATTTCTCAATTTCTCTAACCACCTAAACTGGGGGTTTCCTATCAGGAAACAGTACTTATTCCAAGTGACATATGGTACCCTTATATATCATGATCACTGACTCCTCCTATGCTCAAATGCATAACCTTCCACTGGCAGAGAGACTTTTTTGCACTGGAGGGATGCTATAAACTTAAGTATGGTGGATATAAGAAATTTATTTCTCTATGTGGTAGATGACATATGTTAAGGTAAATACTTACCATGATACCACCATTTAGTTTTCTTTGGATTCTTGTTACATGTTCTTACATAAAATGAATTATCTGGTGGTCGTCTCTGAAATAAAAAGGCCAGACTAATCAAATAACTAGAAAATTACAGTATGATTTATACAGTTTTCATGTATTCAAGGAAACAATTGTGCAGTCAGAGAGGCACATTAGAAGTTCTTTGCAAAAGAATCCTCAAAGTATATCTACAAAAGCTAGATGAAATCTGGACAAGAAAGTTAACCCATTATCTAATCTTTGAAAATAATTTTGGCTTAACTTAAAAAATGTACTAGTTTGTAACTAACTTTTTAAATAAAAACACCTACAGATCACCTGTAAGCATAGCAACATAACATCAGCATAATTAGTATAGCACACTGGCTGAAAATGCACCTCTCAAATTTAGATGCTAAGATTCAAACTGGGCATCAAAACAGGGGTTCACAAATACAGATCAGACCTTCAACAGCACGGATAAATTTAATTTTGGAGAACTGGGGCAGCCCACACTACCCTAACAAACTTCTGGAAAGCTGATGGCATCGAGAAACATACTGTCTCATTGAAAAAAGACACCCTGCATCTTGTGCTAAGATATGGGTCGGTGGGTATTAAGGAACATACTGTGCCTCAGAAGAGCAACAAATGACAGCAAAGTTTTGCTAGCCATTTGAAACAAAAACACCAGCTATAAAGCCTGCTGCACCTTGTCTCAAGACATAATGGTGACAGCCCAGTATTCTCTCAGTTCTCTGCCTGCACTACGGGGATGATAATGCTGAATTAATTCATAAGGAGGCTGAAAGGAAAAATGAATGAGAGATTACTCGGTTTTGGCCCTGAACTGATTTACTTTAGGAAAGGGAATTCAACAATGCACTATGCTCACGTTCTTCTTCTGCTATTCAATTTATAAACCACCCTCCCTTGGAGGGCTCATGTTCTCGGCCACCTTGCTAAAATCACACACATCTTACGTTATGGTCTGCCTTTCTCACTGAGTGGGAGTTTTCCTGACCTTCTCAGGCAAACTGTTTCACAAGGTGGGAGCCACAATGGAGAAAGCATGTGTACAGGCAGTTGTTTATTTTGCTTATTTGCAGGTTGGCGCCTTCAGAAGACCCTGCTGACTTGAGCAAAGTTGTGATGGTCAAACACAGGGGGAGAGGTGGTCCTGCAAATAAGAGGAGCCAATGCCGTGAAGGGCTTTACACATGATAAAAAGGTAAAGGTTTCCCTTGCTCTAAAACTAGTCAAATCCAACTCTAGGAGGCGGTGCTCATCTCTGTTTCCAAGCTGAAGAGCCAGTGCTGTCTGAAGACACCTCTGTGGTCATGTGGCTGGCATAACTAAATGCCTGATGTTGCCTCCTGGCAATGGAGTTCAGAGGTTGACTGCCTCTGAATATGGAGGTTCCCTTTAGTCACCATGCTAGTAGCCACTGACAGATCTACCATCCATGAATCAATCTAATCCCCTTTCAAAGCTGTCCATATCTGTAGTCATCCCTACAACCTCTGGCAGCAAATTTCACATTTTAATCACTCTATGTAAAGAAGCATTTCCTTTTGTCCATCCTGAATCTACTGCCCATCAGTTTCTAGTATTTTGGGAGAGGGATATAAAGTTCTCTTTGTCAATGCTCTCCAACCTGTGCATAATTTCATAAAGTTCTATCATGTTCCCCCTTAGTTGTCTCTTTTCTAAACTGAAATATCTCAGTCTCTTCAGCCTTTAATCATAGAGAAGGTGCTCCAACCCCCTAACCATCTTGCCCTCTTCTGTTGTAGTAAAATGTACCTAACAGTTTCAACCTCCCCATCTGCAAGACATGTACATTCCTGATACTTTCACCATGATATCTCCCTTCCAAAAGTGCAGAGGGAAGAACATTAAACTGGGCAAAGGTCCCATGCATTTGAAAATTAGTAAATTAGCCATATAGTCAAATGGCACCACACTGTCCCTGAAAAAAAAGTTACTTTGCGGAAAGACTTAAATGATGTTGTACTTCAATACCCCAAATCCTTTGTTTAGATTTAGTTTTTAAGTAGCCAAGGGCTATTACACTACTAGGAGAATATCCAGAAATCAATAATTTCTCTGAAAGGCATCCACTAGTGTCAAAGGTACACGTCCCACAGGAGAAAAAAAAATAAGCTTTAGCAAAGCTATATTAAATAGCACTGTAAATTATGGAATTTGGAATCCTTAAATTTCTTATTTAAAAAACTTCAGTAAGTTTTCAAAGAAAAAAATAGCTTCATATGGAACATACAGCATTAACATTCAATTTTGGATACTGAAACAGCAATAAAGAAAAAACATCCACCAAATTTTATGGCTATTTGAACACAGAAAGTAATCACATTGAAGGGCTTATGGATTTCTAAAACAGCAAAGTCCTACAATGGTGGTTTCCACAGAATGTGGTTTCTGTGTTGTGGCTGCTGAAGTGCAGCAGCAGTGGGGCTTCTAATGTGGCAGGTTTCCCTGCCTCAGGCAGCAGCCAGCCTCTTACCTTAGGCCACAGGTAAGGCAACCCACTCCAGGCAACATTCTACACCGAGCATTCTGTACCAACTGTAGTTCCAAGACATTCTTTAAGGACAGCCTCATATACATTGTACTGATGCAACTGAATCTATTATTATTATTATTATTATTATTATTATTATTATTATTATTAAATTTCTACCCCGCCCTCCCAGTGTTACCAGGACCTTGCACCACTGGCAAGATATTTTTTATCCTGGAAAGGCCTCAAATGGCTCACCAGCCAACTGCTCTTTAAAATTAGTTCTAGCCCATGTCTTGTCAGATTCATCACAAGTCTTTCTCCATTGTTGCTATGTTTCCCTTGTCTTTTCATATTTACAATTCTGTTGAGACTCTCTGAAGAGATGCACATCAAACATCTTTGGCCATCTTAATTAGTCATTCTATTCTTTAAGATGCCACAAGCAGTGAAAACAAGAAGGTGAAACACAAAGAATCTGAGTCCAACAGAATATTATTTTCACCTATGCAATAAACAATGAACATTAGGATTCAATATGAAGTGTGATCTTGAGAAGCACAGCTCAGCCATAACAAATGTTGGCTGCGGTCACACGTAACAGAAGCCACACAAGTGAGACGGAAAACAGCCAGAGTTTCCGGGCGCGATCTCACCAGGACATCTGGGAAGCGTAGCACTCCCATGGCTCAACTGAGGCTTCCAGCCGAAACTGCGTGGCAAAAAACTAGTACCTTGGAGGTACTAGTTTCCGGAAACTGCGGGGCAAGGGCGGGCGTCTGATCGCGTTTCCGGTGGCATCCGGCGCCCGCCCATGTCCCCTTGCAAATAAGGTGTTTGTTTTTTTGTCCAAGTCTCTGTGGATGCGCATGCGCACCCAACGGAGCATGCGCATTTGTCATGTACACAAAAATAAAAAACAGTTTGCCACGGCGCGCGCTTCTTCGTTGTGCGCCGGCTTCTTCTGTGATCGGCACCTCTCCCTTGCCATGGAACCTCCACGGTACCTCCACAGGACCTCCACAGGAGGTCTGATCATGTAACTGCGCAGTAGTTTGCCCCAGGGCAAACAGCCACGTTTCTCCTCTGTAGTTTCCTGCCCGTGTGACCGGGGCCGTTATTCTTTAGAAGTGCCACAAGATTTACTTTGCTACAACAGATTGTTCATGAACAGCTACAACATGGCTGTTCATCTGGAATTTATCTGAACAGATGTTAGGTTACTTCTAGAAACAGGTGATTCAAGAAAATATGTTCACATACCTAATATGGATTCTATTTCATTTTAAAGTTTTTACACATAACTAATTCAGCAACTGAAGTTCACATACCCTCTTAAATACCAGTTACTATTTACTCCATAAACACAAGAAAGTACTTTGCCCATTTAAAAACTGTCCTTGCAATATGCAAGGCTAACAGAACATATTTGATTGTAATACAACACTTACCTTTCAACTCTCAGGTTATTTTGGAATACATACATAAGTACTGGTAAAACATCACCTAAGAATTTAAGATCTTATTTATTTTATTTAGTTTTTATTTATTCAATTTATACCCTGCCCTCCCCGCGAACGGGCTCAGGGCAGCTTACAGCAGTGGTCCAATTGCCAATAAAACCAATAAAACAATATACATCATTTCATAATAAGTTATTACTCTCACTGACTTTATTTTAAAGTTATATCTGAAGTCATACCTTTTCTTTGCAGCTGGAAAGCATGCTAATAATGCTAAGACAAACTGATTGCACTGAAAGAGCTGGAGACCAGTCTTCTGTTAGAATAGATAGACAGATATGACCGTTGCTATAAACATGAGGATGAATGGGAATATTTTCACCAGTAAACATGACCTTTTAAAAAAGAAAGAAACTGCAATTAGTATTTGAATTTTAAAATATTAGATAAACAATGCCTCCTTGAGCACTGTAATCTGTCCTTGTAGCTATTATATAAAGTTTCACATTTATTAGGTTCACTTACTTCTGAGAGATTTAGAAGATTTAATCTTCGACATAAAAAAATTGTCCTGAAAAATGGCTAGTGAATCACAGAACATAACACAGATCTTTAAAAAACAGCAGAAGAATGTAAAAGCTGACACATTTCAGTACATCACAGGTAGACAACAGTCTTCTGAAGGCATATTATTGCTTACATGGTGTATTATTCAGTGTATTGATTGCTGTACTCCAAAACAAAGAATTTAAGATCAAGAAAAACTGATGGTTTTATTCTACTCCCTACATCCCCCTTCCCCCAGTAGTCACTTTTTTGACTCTAAAGAAATTGATGCTGGAGGTCACAGGGCTTGCATAGACAAAAAGCCAGGATAGGAAGAGAGAAGGATTCAGTAAACAGAGGAATTGGGTTGAAAAAAAATTCTTTCCTCTTCTGCCAGAAGAGCCTCAGAAATACCATGAGTTCAAACAGGAGAAGGTGATAATTTCATCTGATTCCTACTTCCTCCGCAACCCCCACCCCACCCCATATGACTTTTTGTCCATGTAGGTCCTGCAACTGCCAGTGTCTATTTTTTTTTGAGGGCCAGAAAACGTTACTGGGATAAGAGGAACATAGGGAACATATTTGTCCACCAGTAAGTTGTGCTGGCAGATGATAGGATACATGCCAATCCTGTACATGCCAATTACTAAATAGGAAACAAAATGCCACATATTTAATGTTATTTTGACTACTTTTAATCTATACTATGGCCTTGGTCAACAGTCTTAGAGAGATCTTCATTCACAGGAAATAGTATTCCATTGGAAACTTCGGCAGTCTTTGGTAAAGTTAATCAGAATTAGTTCATATCACAACTGCAGTATCTAGAGGCAGTCTGCAGAAACTGAAGTAGTCAGACAAGGGTATCTCAAACTGCTAACAGGCTATTGCTAACTTCATCTCCTATTCAGCAGTATACAGGAATCTGAGCCAAAATGTGGAAGCCATTATTACACGGATGAAATCTAGCACTCATTCCCAGTCTGTCATTTCATTCAGTTCAAAGCAAAACTCAGAGTAGATAAATGCAAGACATTAAGCTGACTAGCCCCAGTCAAAAGCAAAGTAAAATGGTCAACTGACCCTCTTGGCTCATCATCAATTATTAGAATCTCTAGTATCTCAATCATTCCTAAATCCTGGATCATTCCTAAATCTATCAAAGCATTTGGCATTCTAGGTTCCAGCAGTGATTGGGCACACTTCATCATCATACTTCAAAATGATGAGTAGGACCTTTTCCTTCCAACTAAAAGCTAGCAGCTATAGCTTAGGCACACTATTGCAGCATGCTCTATAACTGCCTAAATGTAGTAACTTGGTGAACTGTAGGGTTTAAAACAATAGAGAAGCAATGATCAGGCATACGTCACTAGAATACATGATGCTAATGATTCCACAAGAACATAAGCGAAGTCAATGCTGGATCAGGCCAATGGCCCATCTAGCCCAACACTCTGTCACACAGTGGCCAAAAATACCAGGTGCCATCAGGAGGTCCCACCAGTGGGGCCAGGACACTAGAAGGCCTCCCACTGTTGGCCCCCCCAAACTCCAAGAATACAGAGCATCATTTGCCCCAGACTGAAAGTTCCTATCTATACCTTGTGGCTAATAGCCACTGATGGACCTCTGCTCCATATGTTTATCTAATTCCTCTTGAAGTTGTCCATGCTTGTAGCCACCACCACCTCCTGTGGCAGTGAATTCCACGCATTAATCACTCTTTGGGTAAAGAAGTACTTCCTTTCATCCGTTCTAACCCGACTGCTCAGCAATTTCATTGCGTGCCCACAAGTTCTCGTATTGTGAGAAAGGGAGAAAAGTATTTCTTTCTCTACCTGCTCTATGCCATGCATAATCTTATAAACGAAGACGGAGGTCCTGTTCCTGAATCGGAGCAGTACGGGGGTAGGGATCCCACTCCCAGCCTTCGGTGGGGTGCCATTGGTGCCAGCTCTGAAGGTCAGGAGTTTGGGAGTGTTCCTGGATGCTTCCTTAACAATGGAGGCCCGGGTAGCAGCCGCTGCCAAGGCAGCTTTTTACCATCTTCGGCTGATTAGGCAGTTGGTTCCCTTCCTCGAACGCAATGATCTGGCTACAGTGATTCACGCTATGGTCACCTCGAGGTTGGACTACTGCAATGCTCTCTACATGGGGCTGCCCTTGGTGCAACTCCGGAAGCTGCAGCTGGTGCAGAATGCGGCGGCCAGGCTGCTGATGGGCCTCCCCAGGTGGGAGCAAGACTCTGCACTGGCTGCCAATAGCATTCTGGATTTGCTTCAAGGTGCTGGTTTTGACCTTTAAAGCCCTTTATGGTCAGGGACCGGCCTACCTGAGGGACTGCCTTTCCCCATATGTTCTCCAGAGAGCACTGAGATCAGGATCCCAAAACCACCTGGACCTCCCGGGCCCTAAGGAAGTCAGGTTGATGGTAACCAGGACGAGGGCTTTTTCGTTTGTAGCTCCGTCCTACTGGAACAAGTTCCCTGCCGAATTCAGGGCCCTGCAGGACCTGTCACAGTTCCGCAGGGCCGTGAAAATAGAACTTTTCAGGCAGGCGTTCCGATAGGAGCGACATTTTACCAGCAGCGCCCTGTAGCGAACTCTGATCCTATACGAGCTAATGTGGCGGTTCTGCCGAATGTGTCCCTAAATTGCACTTTAGTTTTAGCGCCATCTAATGAATGTTTTATATTTTATTGTGAATGTATACTGCTTGTCAGTTCCTGGAAGCTGCCCTGAGCCTGCCTAGCGGGGAGGGCGGGGTAAAAGTGAAATAAATAAAAATAAATAAAATAAAATAAACCACGATCATGTCACCCCTCAGTTGTTGTTTCTCGAAGCTAAAGAGTCCCAAGCACTTTAAACTTTCTTCATAGGGAAAGTGTTCCAACCCTTTGATCATTCTAGTTGCCCTTTTCTGCACTTTTTCCAATGCTATAATATCCTTTTTGAGGTGTGGTGACCAGAACTGTACACAGTATTCCAAATGAGGTTGCACCATTGATTTATACGGGGCATTATGATACTGGCTAATTTGTTTTCAATTCCCTTCCTAATAATCCCCAACACAGCATTGGCCTTTTTTATTGCAGTTGCACACTGTCTCGACATTCTCATTGAGTTATCTACTACGACTCCAAGATCTCTCTCTTGGTCAGTCTCTGCCAGTTCGGACCCCATCAACATGTATTTTTAGTTAGGTTTTGTGGCCCCAATGTGCATCACTTTGAACTTGGCCACACTGAACCCCATTTGCTACGTTGACACCCACTCGCCCATCCTTGACAGATCTCTTTGGAGTGCCTCACAATCCTCCCTGGTTCTCACCACCCTGAACAACTTCATGTCATCTGCAAATTTAGCTACTTCACTGCTTACTCCCAACTCCAAATCATTAATAAACAAGTTAAAAAGCATCGGGCCCAGTACTGATCCCTATGGTACCCCACTGCTTACCACCCTTCACTGAGAAAATTGCCCATTTATATTCACTCTGCATGTCTCTGCATGCTTCCAATAACTTTACAGACAGAGTTTATAGGTCAAAACCTGTGGTCATAAAGACATTAACACCCTTGACTCAAACCTAAGAACACTTTCAGATCACATGGACACATGAAGCTGTCCTATATTAAATCAGACCATTGGTTCATCAAGTTCAGTATTGTTTACTCAAGACTGAGAGCAGCTTTCCAGGGTCTCAGGCTGAGGTCTTTCACATCACCTACTACCTGGTCTTTTATTTTTAGCTGGGATTTCAAGGTATTGAACCTGGGACCTTCTGTATGCCAAGTAGATGCTCTACCACTGAGCCATAGCCCGTCCCTCAAGAGAGTATGACTTCTAAGAATTACAGTCACTAAACTGCACTCAGGACTCATTTCAGGTTACCTTGCCCATGCAATGCATCTATCTTGCTTATTTAAGTGAACGGTCTGAAAAGTTTGGGTACATTCTGTGCCATTTCTCTTCATCTCTAAGTTGATTCCTCTGTCAATTCTCCGATTATGATACTAATTGTGTTCCGATGCCATAAACAAAGCTGGTTTCTTTACAACATGAATCCCTAGGAAAGTCTTTGGGCTCATGCATTTCCCACCTCCTTTCTGGAGATCTGAAGGCTTCCTAGGCTTGGCTCCAAACTATACATTTTAAACATAATTTGTTAATTTTGTCTTCACAAACATAGGAAGCATAAAACCAATGTAACAATAGATTTGAGATACGGAATAATTTCACTAACTATATTAATTGAATCTTTAATGAAATCTAAAGGCTGCCTCTCCAGAGACAGGAAAGGCAGGATATAAATAAAAGGGGGAAAAATCATGAAAACCACCAGAAAGTGCCAGTAATAAAATGGTTGACGGTCCTATGAATGGACATAAAACAGCATAACAAGTCATTCAGAAGTTATAACAGCAGCAGTAATCATACAGAATATTCCATAGGGATAAGGCCATAAAAAAGCTAGCTAAAAAGGACAATATAAAGAAGCCTGTTCTGCCCTGACCCTTCCAAAGCACAAAGTCAGAACTGAGATAGGCCAGTCTCTAGTCACTACATACCTCAACTCTGTAGGTAGTGGCATAGAAAGCAGGGTTTGTGAGGAAGTTCTTAACCGGCTAGCTGAACAATACGGGAGGTTCCCAAGTCTCAAGCCATTTAGGGCTTTAAAGAATCAACAATTTGAATTGTGCCTGAAAACATAAAGTCAGCAGCACAAATACTTCAAGTACAGGGTGATATCGTGCCTCTGACAACAGCTTGGCTACTGCATTGATCCAACTGAAATTTCTGGACAGTTTCCAAGGGCATATAAAGTGCATTATAACAGTTT